TTTATATTTCTGTACAAGATGTTTAGATTGTAAAAAAGCCTGTTTTTAGGGTTATAAACGAAGTTTGTGTACTCAGACCAGTAATATTTGGGGTCACAAGTTTTTGCCATGGATATTTTGTGGGTCAGAAGATAAAAAGTTTGGGAACCACTGTTCTAGAGGATGGACAGTATAAGGCAAGTCTTATTTTTCCCACTTTCTTTTTTTAATTTCATAGAATTTCCCTTGTCTATCTGTGTTGGTTTTGCTTTCTGAATTTGTAATATGACATTTGGCTTCTCTAATTAAGCTCATTTTATACAAAATAATATATATATATATATATATATACAGTATATATATATATATATTTAATTTCATTGTTGTCTACCTTTCTTTGCACATCGGTTTTTGACATTTTTGTAGGGTATTGTATTGAGCCTTTGCAACTGTGTCACCTAATCATGTGGAGGCACCATGAAAGCAGTCAGAAGTGAGGGAAGGGCATATTGGACTGAGCGACTGTGATTGCTTTTTTTAAGTTAAAGTTTGCTGTCAGCRGAATGGCTCTCTGTCATCAGAAAAATGAAAATGGAAAAAAAACATGGGTTTTCAACCATCCTGATTTCAAAGCATTTAGGTAGACTATGACGCAAAATCAAATTTATTTTTAATATATATTTGATTTTTCAACTGAAGATAACATAGATACTTGATTGTGGTATAGAATTTAACTAGAATTGAATTGTGTGCTTGGAACATATAACCCCTCTCCCCTTAAAAAAACATTTCTTTAAAACATATTTAATGAAATGTTAAATTCATGTGAATTAAATTAAGAAATGCATTGAGTTACTTAATTAAAAGTAAATGAACCTTCTATATTTCAAAAGGAACTTAAATTTGAACATATTCTGCTTTTGTTTTAAGGAAAATAAATGTGAAATTACAAATATATCCCACAAACCTGATTTTTTTAAGTTATTTGCTAAGTAAAGCAACAAAAGCCATTTGGATTATTTTGACAAGTCTGTTGGAAAGTTTCAGAAATGTGTCTGGTGGTGGTTGGATACAATATTTGTTGAACTACAGTCCAATCAGTCCAAGAGACAAACACTAATTGAAAGAGAATAAAATGTCTTCAGGTTGCTGTGTGGATGTAGACGTGGATGTGCTGTGTTTACACAAAGGCCCACATTCCTGCTGAATGAGGTCAGCTCATGGAGTGAACTTTGACCTTTGCTGCTGATGCTCTGGGAGCTCTTTCTAGCAAAGAACCGTCAATCATTTTGTCCTTTCAAGCTTGCCCCTCTTTTGTCTTTTCCACTGTTGCCACACTTTTCTTCTCCTTCCTTTTAAACGATCTGCTGTARTTTCACTGCCCGTTTTCATTCCTACTCTTCATTTGAAATGTAAAATGCAAAAAACTGTAGATAGGTGTTTTATGTATTTTCTTAAATGTCACAGCTGATAAAAACTTAATGTGTTCAGTTAAATGTTTTGCACAGACAACAATCAATATGTATCTCAACTATTTCCTACCCTGCACGAACACTCTCTCTTATCCCACTTTTTTTTCCTAGCCTCTATGCCAGGCTCTGCTATTTCTTGACCTATTTATGTACATATGTATGTGTATGAGTCCTTAGAAGTGCAGGGCCCCTCCTCCCTGGCCTGATTGTCTCATTGAGAGCTTCCCTCTGTGTCCGCTCACCATGGAAACACATCCCTCTCATAAAGAGCTGTCTGTCTAAGCGGATCAGGATCTCCTTGAATTCCTTACCACTTTTTCTCCCAGACCGACCCGTACTTCACTCTTCCCCTTTCCCCTACATTACCCCCCCGCCCACCCCAAACCCCCCTCGCACACCCCTTTTTAGTTTGGCTTTGTTGTATGTATTTGATTTACATAAGAAGATAAATGTGTATTAAGTATGTATTTAATGTAACTATACATTGAGAAGTTTAAAAGGATTAACAGCTGTTTGTTATTAGTCATAAGTGTAACAATCACTTTTTGCAGCGCAGCAAAAAAACTTACTGTGTTTAAATGAGCAAATTTATTTTAAAGCTTCTTTCTGTCTGTCCGTTTTGGGACATTTTGGAAACAATTCATTTTGGGAAAAAAAGCCATATAAAGTGCCTGTGACATCAGATTATTGTAATAACTATGAACACATTTTTGAAAAGCTAACATTAATAACGTATTAMAAAACAAATTTTATGCCACTCAGATGAACAGTTGTGGAAATATTTGCATGTGAAGCAACAGGAAGTGATGTCAAAGGGGAATGTCTGCATGTAAACAGAGTGTCACTAAAATGGCTCAACAACACAGACTGTAGAGAAGAATTTGATTTTTCCACAATTTATTTTGAGTCACTATCAGAGAGATGAAGACGAGTCAGAGTTCAAAAATATTGTTTCAGTAAACCAAGACAGGGAAGTTTTCATTCTTAAAGAGTTCCCCTTTGATGTCACTTCCTGTTTCACTTCTGCTGAACCAAGTTCAAAGAAATAATGCCAGTTATGTGACAAAACAAGTAAAAATTATGTGTTTTATGCCAAGTTCCTTACATATAAAGATGTTTTCTTTGACTTTTTGTATATGAATAAAATACATGCTACTGGCACTTTAAGATGCCGTGGTTTTGTATGACTGATGTCAGTTTGAACACGAGGGTCTGAAATCCGTTTTTATTTATTTATTTTTGCCTGACTACAGATGTTAGAGCAGCAGCTCATAATAATAACATTGAAAAGAAGTGAGAAGGATCTGGTAGGATAAGATAAATCACCCACTTAAAGTGTTATTCAAGTCATCTATTGAAAATTCCTGTATTTTTTCATTTTTCAATATATATCTCCAGGTTAAAAATAAAATCTCAATGTCAGTTTTTTCCAGTCTCCAGTCTGTTTGAAACTTTCACTTTTCTATCGGGTGTTTTGTACTCACCTGCTCCATATACCACAGAGTACACAATGCGTTTCGCATGTTCCCTGTCTTCAGAGGTCACAWCGTCTGAACTTATCCCTTTCCTGAGTGACAAAGACAAGAGACAAGAGTTTTTGAAAGAGATGAAATTTTCTTGCAGGATCTCAGCTGCAGACTGAGCTTCAGGGAGGAGCTTTGTGTAAATAGGCGGTGCTTTGTGCCATCATGCATTTAGGCAGCTCCACACAACTACCCACAGGAGATTCAAGGATTTCTCAGCATGAATGAGTCAAAGCAACACTCTGGGTATGTTTTTGATGAGGTAATGACAAAAAGTTGCTTTTGCATAATAACACCCCCTCACACACACCCATTTAAGGTAAACATTTCCACAAAGAAAATAGATTTAAAAACTTTATGGTTTAATACGACGGCATGGCTCAGTTAAATGAGTAAATTAATGACTATTGAAGAATTCTGGAAACAAAAGTCACGACAAATGCCGGAAACATTGTGGTGTATGAATAGGAGAAATCTCTACAAAAACAACATTTAAAAAAGGTTATAGTGCCAGTTCATGAAGGGACATGAAACAGACAGGCAGAAGAAGTAGRAAGAGGATAAAACAGAGGAGAGAGGAGATAGAACTGGTAGGACTGATGGAGATGGCTATGAAATGTGACTCGTAGACACCCGTAGTATCGTGGACCAGACAGGGTGGGATAACACGTCTACAAAGTGACATTTCTTGAGGGGTTTATGGAAAACTGCCACTGCTGTTCAGTGCTGACACAAAAAATACCCCCAATACACACACACACACACACACACACACACACACACACAC